ATTAATTGAATTGAATGTTGAAGCATGGTTTCAATAGCAAAAATTTCTACCAATGAACATGGTGAGTTTTTTATTTTATTTTTTTGAAGTTATAACGCTCACCAAAGGTTATCTTCATTCTTCACATTTTTCACCCTATCATGGTGTTATAATGGTCGAACTTTCTCATTAAAAGAATGACATCTGAAAATCGATTTTAGCATTTTAACAAAATAAAAACAAATTTCAGCTTTTAAACAATTAAAAGTCCAAACTATGGATTTGTATTTTGACCTATTCTTAAACTTTAATGATTCTTTCAAAACTTATTTTATTTTTTCAGGCCAAAACTAATGATAATTATATTTATATATCCACAATATTGAAACTAAAAAGTATCAATGCAGATCAAATTACATAAATTTAATTTTTAAATAAGAAACAAATTCTTTAATTTTGGGATGTATTTTTATCTAGTAATTCTTTTTTTACAACTTGATATAATTTAAATTGTAAAATAAAAGGCTTATATAAAAAATGAATTGTATAATTAGGCTGCTAGCACATGTTTTCTCTTTAAAGTTAGTATTTAACATTATCCATGCTCTTACATTTATTAGTACGACAAATTAACAAAATATTCAAAGAAAATAAAGTAAACTAAAATTTTGAAAGATTCTATAAGCCTTTTAAGACAATTGAACTAATTCATATCCTCATTCTGAATTATCAATGACATAACATGATTAGAAGGAGTGTAATTTAATTATGTTACTATATTGTTGCTGTGTTCATTTTTTGACCCCATCTCTTATTTTAGTCTCCAGATTAATGCTGTAAAACCAATAAACATTGACTGTTACACCTGGAACCATCACATGACTAAACATAAGAACATGATTATATGCTTAACTATCAATTAAAAAAGTACTTTTGTGTTACATTATAAAATGTAAATCAGAATTACTAATTAAAAAATCTATGATGCAGAATAATCCATCTTTGTTTTTTGATTCCGCCTCTGCTTTTAATAGTAAAATACTAATGAGATGAACACTGAAATAAATAAATATAAATTAGACTAAGAGAGAAGAAGAAATATGTTATCTTGTAAGGTTCTGAGGCACTTGGGCAGTATTCAGTCAGTATTTATGTGGATGAAGTGGCAAAAAGGGGGATGGGTATTTCTTTTTTGGTTTTACAGCAAGACGGCTAAAACAGGTCATTCATATTTGGATCAGAAGATTTGCAAGAAATTATCTTCCTATAATACGTTCTTTTTAACAGAAATTTTAGTTAATACTACATAAGAGTGTATAATAAGAACCATTAAATGGAGGAGGACTCTTAGTATTGGGTGCTCTAACTCTCATTTAATAATTGGTGTTATGAAGTTTAAATTATATAACACTTTTTCTAAAAACTATTATCTATGAAAAAAATAAGAGATTTATCATGAGATGCAATATGCTTACTAACTAGACTAAATGTTGGAATTAGGAGGAAATAAGATTCTAGACACCCTTTTGTCATCCAAAGTTGTTGGATGAGAAGTGGATTTGTAGCTTCTAACTGTAAAATATAACATTGTTTTTACACAAAAGTGCTGATTTGTCCACTTAAAAAATAAATCAGTGAGTTACATTGTCAAATTCAGAAAAACTGCAATTTTGCATATCATTGAGAAAAAATGAAAGATACTTGTTGGATGGGTTGACTTTGCTACAGGCAAATCCCACTGCAGTTTTTGTGTTTGACTTCTCATCTGTTTTTCATCACAATTGGATATTGCTAATATTAATGAGAGTGGTTGATGCATACACACACAAAAAAAAAAAAAAAGTTCAAAATAATGAAAGTAGAGCATTATTGCATAATGCTATTTATCTCTTAATGGATGGACAAGCTTTAGACAAGGGGCCACCAAGGTTGCAATATCATGCACACAAAGTGAACACACTTATCTCCATACAGCCATTGTCACCCCACTAGATGAACTTTTGTTTTGATCTCCATTATGCCCGGGAAAACCTGTTGAATGCTTGGAATTAGCGCAGCGTGTGTCGGTGATTATATGCTCATTGCTTGTTTCGTGCATGTCAACATCAGAATAAAAATGTACTGATCAGAAGAAAAATTTGCAGTTCAGTTAAACATGATTCAAGGGATTGGAGTGAACATGAAAAAATTTCAGGTCAATTAACTAAGTAAATGGAGTTACTATACAGGAAGAACCAAAGAAGCATACAATGAGTTTATGATGCCAGAAGGTACTGATTGGTTAAATACAATGACTTTATGAAGCCAAAGGTTAGTAATTGGTTAAATTACAACACTGGTTTTCACCACTATGTTGGTTACACTCAGTAGAAGTACAGTTAAGATTAGGCCATCCCGAGCAATTCAGAAATTATCAGTGCTGGATTAAGGTGGTTCACGTTTCGAGCCATGTAATGGTGCCCACAATCAAGTATTTGCTAGGTAGTTCTCCGGCTGATGGTGCAAGGTATGTAATTACCTTCCTGCAAATTGTAAGGTTTTAGTTCAGAATGAAAAATGAAAAATAAAGTTCAAAAGGAATGCCAGCATTTGTACAAGAAATGTTCCCATAAAGACAAAAGGATTGTGACTCAAACCTTTGAATGTCGATTTCAGTGATATAGATAAAACCAGCGACATTACTGCATAAAGAAGGATTAAGGTGACCAGTGAGACTTCAGAAGTAAGAGACAAGAAAATTCCTAGGAGAATAAAAATTTGGTGGGACAACAAAAAAGTAGAAAATAACCTTGATAAGATTTGGTCAGGCTCCTTGGCATATGAAACAGCAAGGACTGTGTGAAGCAAGTTGCTGTCAATATTCACTGGGGTCACTCTTAAAGGATTAGCAACAGGGTCTGCACCAATTGGCAGTGCAGATCTTGGGGCCTGTGGGCCACCACCTATCCGGTAGACGAACAGATCACTGAAATTTGCAATATTGGAATGTGGGGAGAGGTCGTTTGTAAGGCCATAGAAGTATTCCTGATAGATTTATGGAATGTACAGCACTGTCAGCAGGAGAAAATAGAACACATGTTTTTGTTTTTGAAAAAAACGAACAACAGAATATATACCAAAAAGATGCACCAGACTTTAGGTTTGGATAAACAAAAACACAGATTTGCACTAGAGTAAAGCTAGTTTAACCAACAAAAACAGTTGTCACGTGCAAAATATTTTTGAAGACCAATGCAAGTAAAATGATCGGAAGGCATATTATACTGTTCAAACAAAGCTATTTACATTCCAGATCATTTGCAAATAACGAGAATGCCATTTGATGGTTTAGAACCAAGAAAACATGGGTAAAAACCAAAAAAAAAAAAAAATGTAAATCTACCAAGTAGTCATAAAATTTGCATTTACCCTTATCCTATAACTCCGAGCTTTCTGACGGACTTTTGCATTCCTGGATACAACACCACCTGACTTTTGAAGTTTCACAACGTCTACATTAGGTTTATTCTTTGCTACAGACCTAAGCATGCTGAAGAGTTTTTCCTGCAGAGTTCAAAAAGAATTGTCTTTGGTAACCCACAATTGGGAAGACACAAGAGTACAAAGGAATAGCATTTTCATAATGTATTAATCATTCAGGAGCTGCAATAGAAGTAGAGATCCAAGGTGAAAATATGGTTTACAACAGCTCTATATATCAGTGCATTGCATAAAAGTGAAAATTTTCAAAGAACTAAACTGATGAGGGCCAGCCATTGTAATATTCGATGTAATATTTGAATGTTAACAAAGTTTGGGAAATAAAAAAGTATATATTAAAGTTAAAGTTCACAAATTTTAATTTGTTTTTCCAAAAGACAAATGGTAGTCTGTTCATGGATGGCTTTCGCTACCCAAATTAAATATCACCACTGTAAATATGAATCCTAGCATCTTGCCTTGCAACAATTCTCAATTTTTGAGTTCACTGGATTATGATCTACCACATCCAACATGAATATGCAAGTCCAAAGAATGATTTCACAATAGACAAACTGAACCAAGAAGAAAAGGATCCTTCAACAACTGGGAGTTTTTTTGTTTACCTGACCCAGAACCAAGACAACATTGGCCTTGAACGTGTCTATTGCATGGAGGAGCAACTGTGAAGAGATTGAAGATATCAAAAAATGAATTTGAAATATCTGACATAAGGCAAGCAACTGCAACTCAACATTCAACTTGTTGAAGGTTCAGAAAAATACCTCATAGCCTGTACCTTCTATCCACCCCATTGTATTGATTACCGTCCCTGCAGCTTGAGATTCAGCATTCCGAGCAAATTGATTCTCCAACACTTGAGCAAGCTCATTTACAAGTGCTTTATACAAATCTACATTGTTACTGCAGAACAGCAAGATTCCATGACTCAGGGAATTAGTAACTCAAGCACTCAAATCAAGGAAAGTGCATTCTGATATTATGACTTACTTGAAAGAAGATGCTTTATAAATATCTACATCATTATTTCATAGATTTAATAAGACTAAAAAGAATTATGACTATATCACTCAAATCTACCAAAGAGCAAGAGGTCATTTAATTTGTAGGGTTGTTTATTATATGGGAATCAATCAGGAGAGTGCATCCTGATTTGAGACTTACTCCAAAGAACAGAAAAAGAAAAATTCATTACCTAGGAGTTGTGTGCCCATAGAAGTAAACAAGAGGAATTTCGAGAGGAACTCCTTCCACTGGATCAATGGGCAATTCAATAGGCGTAGCAGCAATACTTCCTGGAATGGTTATAGATCCTTGTCCTATATCCAAGTCCACAAAGGTTGGTTTCCAACCTTGTTTAGCTGCCCAACTTAGAAGCATCCTTGATAAGGTACTTTTTCCAGAATCTGTAGGCCCAACAACCATCACCCTAGGACCCTGGAACACACAACTTATCACATTCAGAATTTCAGATATAAATTTAAGTGCATAAAAGTAACCAGATAGTCTTTCAAAATAACAAAAGTTTGGGGCTCTGGACCACCCAATTGTATAAACTGAAATACAAATCAAACCATGTAAGATGCCTCAAACTGAAACAGCTTAATGTATGATACCTCAATCCTTAAGAAATTATTCTTCCATGATACCTAAATCCTTAAGATATTATTCCTCCATAGTTTTGAGATATCCTATCAATAAAGCTGAAGAAATACCTGAGAAGCATCAGAGTCTGTAGATGATGAGGCTTTAGCACGACTCCTCCGTCCATCAAGTACAGCATGCACATTCACATAACTGACCATAGGTGTCTGGCAATCAATCAATGCAATAGAAGTCAGTCATTGCATCTTACAACTTCCCAGAATTACCCTCAATTTGCAATACAGTAAAAGCAGGCCAAGACACACTTGAAGAAATATAAAACTTAAAAAGCAAAGAATGAAGCACCTCATCTGCAGTATAATCAGTTTCAGTAGAGCCATCCATTTCAATAGTAGCTCCATACCACGTGAAAACCTGATACAAGACCAGATATTTCTTCAACGCCACACAATAGCAGATTAACCCATGAATAACAGATTCACTAAATCCATCGTTTCATTAGTTTTAAGAACCACATTTTGTATGTAAAACAGTCCCCTAAATATTAATATAAAGGGTATAAACTTGCTCAAGAAATAATTCGCTCCAAAATATTCTCTCCTGGTTCAGCTATTTCCAGAAGCATTATCCAATTGTAGAAGCATAACCATTACCAATTTCACTAAATAAATAAATAAATAAATAAATAAATAAAAAGAGAGAGAGAGTCATTTCTGTAAATTCAAAGAAAAAAAAAGACTTTTTTAATCTCGATATATGGAATGGAATTTCCTTTATCTAAAAAAAAACGCAGACTGGTAAAAAAAACAGCACTAACAACTAAATTTTACAAATTTTAAATCTTACAGCGAACTTGAGACGGGAAGGGAAGGAAAGCCAGATTCCTGGAGCTAGCTCGGAGCCGAAGATCTCGGCGGAACCATTGAGAAGGCGGAGTCGAAGCGCAGAGTCGTGACCCACCTCGATCCTGAGCTCGCTCTCCATCTCCAACTTCACTTGCCTTATTGAAGAAGAGGCGGAGCCGGTCATGGCAGTCGCACCACCGTAAGACATACTCAGCAATTTATTGATTGAATTAGCTGGGAATCTAATGGAGGTTTTAGTAGTTCAATTTTGGGTAGAGAAATCAGTATCAAGTTTGCAGGTCTCTTTGAACTGCTGTTCCTGTTCCAACTTCCAAGATGTATGGAGAAGAGAGGTTGTGACTTGGTGACTTCTTGTGGGCCATCCTACTCCCTACTCCGAGTTGGATTGGGATTCAAGCCGCCACGGAGCTTTAACTTGAACGGGTTTATTGGGTTTATGCAGGGTTTTGGTCTAAACGGGTCGGATCTCAATGCTAAACCTGTCGAGTTTAACCGGTCCAGTTTGGCTTGTTGTGGGCCGTAGACGGTTGAGCCGCGGTTTTAGGGAAAAAAAAATTAAAAAACAATTAAAACACTGGAGATGCGGGGTATCGATCCCCGTACCTCTCGCATGCTAAGCGAGCGCTCTACCATCTGAGCTACATCCCCGTTGATGTCCTATTAACATGAACTTTAATTCATAATGAATTATTGAGTTTCTATAAACTCCTGTTGTTTTAGGCTTTTTTTTGTTTGTTTTTTTTGAACCACCAAAATTTTAGGGGACGGCGGAATTGAACATCCAACATCAAGGTTGGGAAGCTGGACCTTAACCAAGTGAACCACGAGGCCTGGTCCTATTGTGGTTTTAGGCATTGTTTTGTTTTGTTCCAGCCTTCCAGGTAACAAAATGTTGAGAAGGGTGGTTCCGCAATCTACAGATGCTCGTTGATTGCTCTCTCCACAATCTGCAATTGCTGCTCTTAGCCCATTTTCGTCTTCAACTGAATCCCAAATCCCAAACCTGGAGGACCAAACTGACATGCCACCACCATCTCCATTGACCGCTCCTCCCTCTATACTCCTCCAGGTGGTAATTACAAAGATATTCATTTTCAACTTTCAATGTATATATTTGGTACTGGCTATTGAACTGCATTATTTCTTTCTAAAAGCAGAGCATTGTATTGAGCCGACTTCGGATTCTGAGCTCGTTAAGCGCCTCAAAGGCATTATCAAGGTTAAAAGAAGATTGTCTTTTTTTCTTACCCTTTTTTTACTTTATGGCTGGGTTATCGCTGCTTTGAATTTGGTAATATGGTGGGAGTTTCTCTTGACCGGTCTTTTGACGTGGAAGTGGTCTTTGTGGGAATGAATGTATATGTCTATTGTTATTTGACAGTAAGGTAGTATTTTAGTGGTGGGTTGGACGGAGGTGAGGTAATATGTGTTCCTTCCTTTCTGAAAGTTTTATTTGAATAGGTGAACATTGTACTGTTATAACAGTGCCATTTTTATGGAGATAATTTTTGTTAGAGAGTGGACTGCACATATGAATTTATTAAAATATTTTTAATAAAATTATTTTTTTATGTTATTTTATTAAGAATATTTTAATAAATTTATGGTACGCATTGTATTTTTAATATATTATTAGGACAGATTGTATTTTTCCTTGTTCCTTTTATCAGCTGGTTCTTGAATAAACTTTACAGAATAGCTATATAGTCTCTGCTTCTTCTTCTTCTTCTACTTCATAACCTATTTCCTCAAGTTATCCTTCATGATCGGATGGAGTCTCACGAGAAGTATGTTTATAATTTTTAACCGGATAGAGTTTGATCAAAAGTTATGGTCAAGTAATTAAAACAGGGGACGGCTCATGACAAAGATGCTGGTGACAATTATGATGTTATCAACTAAAAGAATTATTCTAAACCTTGCTTACAAGCATTACTGTAATATGAAGGTGGACCTTCTTATTCTTACGCTAGATTTTTCTTCCCCATACATCTTGTAATATCTTTTGTAACTTGAAGTTAGATGTCATTGTTATCTAGTTCAGGTTTTCCAGTTCCGAAGTGGACCAATCTCAGTTGCAGAGTGTACGGAAGAACATTTAACAAATCCAAAGGCTGGATACCACATTAACCGGGATGTCTTTGGAGCAAAAGGTGATTTTATAACATCTCCTGAAGTAAGCCAGATGTTTGGAGAGGTAACTTTGGTTTGACTTGAACTCTCCAATTTCTGGTTCATGCCTTCATGGGAACGTTCAAGGAGACGATTAATTTAGTTTGCCCGCTGACATAACAATTAGATGATTGTGTTTGGGCCATGTGTCTGTGGGAGCAAATGGGACAACCAACCAGAGTTAACCTGGTTGAGCTGGGCCCTGGACGAGGAACTCTCATGGCAGATCTTCGTCATGTATGATGCTCATTTAAATTTTGTTTCTTTTTCTAATTCCCGCTTCACGCATGCAAAATGCTAATTTCTAAGCTTTCAGCTTTGTTTATGCTGTATTTAATTTATCTAGTGCCCTTTTACTTTCAGGGTGCCTCAAAATTTAAGAAATTCACTGACTCCTTGCATGTACACATGGTAGATTGTAGTCCAACAGTGCAGAAGCTTCGGCATCACAGCTTGATATGCACAGAAGGAGATAATAATAATGAAAATGTTGAGAAAAGAACTATAAAGTATAAACACACTAGCCAGAACTCCTGTGTCATGGCATACTACACTGGAACATGTTCCATCAGGATGTCTGGTGTTACTCTCGGAATTGCTTTTCACTGAAAACAAGCAGCTAAGCATAGTCATATGAGTATATTCACCTAGCAGTTCTACCTAGCAGTTCTTGCAAAATGATTAGGATGAGCTTATATATGGCATATGCTTTATACATCTTAAGAGTTAAATGAAATGATTTGCTCTCTTCATCCCTTTTTGGTTTTTGTTTGCTTTTGTTTCAGTGCCAACAATCATCATCGCACACCAGTTTTATGATGCTTTGCCAATTCATAAATTTCAGGTTTGATTGGTTTATCTTAATACTGTGGGCTTCAAAGCATCAGTTGCTTCTAGTGAGAGTTGCAAAATTTTATTGGTTTGATGATTTTAAGCTTTCAGCAGTGCCTAAAATCTAAATAACTCGAATATTTAGCTGAGTTGTATGAATTTCTATTGTGCTCCCTGTAATAAATGGTTGTCTATGGGGAATCTGTGCTGTGTTTCATTGTTTGTGATTTCATACTCATAACTCTAATTTTTAAAAATTTCTCTACAGAAGGTATCTTCACAACCTACACCCGCAACTCTCTATCTAATCAAGCACTGCAAGTGGGCTGTGCCTGAAGAATTAGAGCCACTTTACCAAATTGAAATTTGCCCAAAGCAATGGACTTAACTCACACAATTGCCCAGACAATAAGTTCAGATGGTGGAGCTCTTATTATTGATTTTGGCTTGAATGGAGTGATCTCAGATAGTCTGCAGGTCTGTTGCACTAATATCTCACCATGGACATTGAACATGTTTCCTGCTAATTGACAATTAAGAAATTTGCTTTCCCTTTACTTTTTCTCCATGACTTTTTTCATAGCCATGACCAACTTTTTACAGGCAATTCAAAAACATAAGTTTGTCAACTTACTAGATGGTCCTGGAACTGCTGATCTTGGTGCTTAAGTTGATCTTGCTTCCATTACGCACTCTGCAGAGGAAGCTTCAGTTGTGCCCCATTTTTTTTTCATAGTAAATGTGGCTTAGATTGGAGTCCATGAGAGTTGAGAAATGGAGAACAATTTCATCACATTTCAACGTGTTTTCAGATGATATCTCTGTCCATGGCCAAATTATCCAGTCCCAATTTCTTGGTTCTCTTGGAATAAATTTCCGAGTCGAAGTGCTGCTGAAGAATTGCACAGATGAACAAGCCGACTGTCTGGGAACAGGGTACTGGCGTCTGGTGGGTGAAGGGGAAGCCCCCTTCTGGGAGGAACCCAATGAAGAGGCGCCTACTGGTATGGGCACCCGATATTTGGCAATGGCTATTGTGAACAAGAAGCAAGGCGTTCCGGTTCCATTTCAATGAAGTTCAAGTAATATGGCCTTTTTGTACCATCTAGCGTATGTACCACCATTTACTTGTGCCAGGATGGCCACACAAAATATTATAAGTGTGTTTAATTTATTTGATTTTATTAATTTATATTGTTTGAAAATATCAATTTATAAGTTGATTTCAAACCATCAATTATTTTATTTAATATAAATTAACAATTATAGTTAACAACTTTTTAAATCAATCATATCAAACATACTTATATTACTTTTTTGACTTAACAATTTTTTGTGCGGCCATAACTGCGGTCCATATACCTTTTGTGCTATAAGGTAAATCCAATCTTTCTGAAGGTGAGTCATCGTTAACCAATGCTACTTGTAATATAGTTCAAGATGTTCCATATGACGTTCTATATAAATATAAATGCACATGAAATAAAGGAATATAATTGAATTTGATTAGGCTTAATTCAATTTTTAGTATATTAACTATCACATTGATTTCATTTTAATCTAGAAATTATATTTTATTTTTAAGTG